AAGGGTTGTTTAGGGTTTAGGGTTTAGGGTTTAGGGTTTAGGGTTATATAGGGTTATTTAGGGTAATATATAGGGCGTCTTAGGGTTTAGAGTTATTTAGGGTTATACGTAAAGCTATGTAGGGCTATTTAGGGTTATTTAGGGTTTAGGGTTTAGGGATTAGGGTTTAGGGCTATTTAGGGTTTAGGGTTTAGGGATTAGGGTTTAGGGTTATTTAAGGTTTAGAATTTAGGGTTTAGGGTTTAGGCTTATTTAGGGTTATTTAGGGTTATTTAGGGTTTAGGGTTTAGGGTTTATACCTATCTTAATAACCTCAGCAAAGCCGCTTTTAGTTTGTTTGTTATTTAGGGTTTGTATAAATGCGATGTCAATACAACAAACAAACGGCGAATAAAAAAAACCTAAAAAGTTTTTAATGCCGTTCACATTCACTCCCGTCTTCCCTGCACGCAAACCCTAAACCCTAAACCCTAAACCCTAAACCCTAAACCCTAAACCCTAAACCCTAAATAACCCTAAATAACCCTAAATAATCCTAAACCCTAAATAATAAACAATAAACTGTAGATCCTAATTCCTAAACACTAAATACTAAACATTAAAGCCTAAACCCTAAACAATAAACAATAAACCCTAAACCCTAAACCCTAAACAACAAACAAGGAGAGGTAACCAGCAAACAACAAACAACAAACAACAAACAACAAACCCTAAACCCTAAACCCTAAACCACAAAAAACAAACCCTAAACCACAAACCCTCAACGGCAACCCCTAAATAATAAACCCTATTGTTTATTGTATATTGCTTAGGGTTTAGGGTTTAAGACATTTTAGGGTTTAGGGTTTAGGGTTTATTGTTTACTACTCATTATGTATTGTATAGGGTTTAGAAGTAAGAGCGTTTTAGGGTTTAGAGTATATTATTAGGGTTTAGGGTTTAGGGTTGATTAGGGTATATCAGGGCTTAAGGATTAGGGTTTAGGGTTTAGGGTTTAGGGTTTGCTGGCCTCCAACAGCAGCATCAACAGCAGCAAGTAGAGTCGTCGGCAGCAGCAAACTGCGGATGCCTCGCAGCAGCTGCGAGCAGCAAAAGGAAATTAAATCTGTCAAAGCACCGCCTCCTGCTGCAGCAACAACAGTTTGTCTATCTAGCAGCAGCTGCTGCTGCTGCTGTTGCTGCTGCTGCTGCTGTTGTCCTGCTGCTGCTCCTCCTCCTCTTGAAAACAAGCGCAAGACCCGGCAGCAGCAACTGCTGCTGCTGCTGCTGCTGCTGCTGGAAGATAGAGCAGCAAAACACTCTTGCAGGTCTTGCTGCTGCTGCTCTTCTTCCTGCTGCTGCTGCTGCTGCTGAGCTAACCGCAGCAGCAACTCGCAGATATAAATTGAAGACTGCGGTGTCTTCGCAGCTTCACCTCCAAATACAGCAAAGAACACGCACGGTGTCGTCTGCTGCTGCTGCTGCTGCTGCTGCTGTTGCTGCTGCTGCTGCTGTTGCTGCTGCTGCTGCTGCTGCTGCTGGCAATCTGCTGCAGGTAGCATTGAAGGAAAGAAGCAGCAGAAGCAGCAATCGCTGCAGTGTTCGTTGCTGCTGCTGCATTTGCTGCTGCTGCTGCCGCAACTTAAACAACGCCTACTCCCGCTGCTGCTGCTGCTGCTGCTGCTGCCGTTGCTGCTGCTGCTGCTGCTGCAGCAGAGGCTACGTGCGAGTTGTTTTATTCGCCTTCGATGTTGCGGGTAGCGGAGGACCTCAGCATCGATAAAAAAACAAAAAGATGAAGCCCCCTGCATCAGAAACCCTAAACCGTAAACCCTAAACCCTAAACCCTTAACCCTAAACCCTAAACCCTTAAGCCTAAACTCTTAACCCTAAACCCTATATCCTAAACTCTAAACCCTACATCCTAAGCCCTAGACCCTAAAATCTCGATTGTCGATTCTAAACCCTTATCCCTAAACCCTAAACCCTAAACCCTAAACTGCTGCAGTGTATGGTCAGCAACACAGAAAGAGATAAAGGGTTTAGGGTTTAGGGTTTAGGGTTTATGACTCACAGGAAAGTGCTGCCGCAGCTCCCCGCCAATTTTGTTGCACATATCAAAGCCAATATACACTGGGTAGGAGCTGCTGCTGCTGCTGCTGCTGCTGCTGCTGCTGCTGCTGCTGCTGCTGCT